GCCGCCCCCCCCCCCCCCCGGCTTGCTGGGCCCTGAACACGTGGGGTGGGGCTCCCCCCTTTGCTGGCCCCGCTTTCGTTCCCTGCCCCAGGCTCGGAGGTGGGGCCCACTCCCCTCCTGTCACGGTCGAGAGCACGACCGGTTTGCCCTGGGCAGGGGAGGGATTGGTTCTACTGCCCCCCCGGGAGTGCGTGGCCGGAGCCTTGGCCCACGGCCCCTCCGCAGAGTCCCAGCACACGCAGCCCTGTGCCAGGTGTGACTGAACCTCTCCCAGTCAGCGAGGGGCCCCCGGGCACCACGGACGGGCGTTGACCAGCGTTTGGACAATGGCCCGGAGGGGGGAGGGTGCATCCAGGGCAAAACCGTGTTGCAAAGGGCTGGGGCCGTCACCCGGGTGAACGGGCTGATGCCCCCCAGAGCTGCCCGGAGCCGGGCACCGCCAGGCAGGAGCAGACACGTATCTGCTCCCTGGGCACCTTCCAGCACATGGCTGGTTCGATCTCCCCCAGGGATCAAAGTGGGGCGTGTGACGGATTGGATCCCAGAGATCCCCTTCGGCCTATCACCCAATGTGTGGCTCACACCCCTGAGCCTGCTGGGCCAGAAGCTCCTGTCTCCCCCATCCCAGGCACAGAGTTGGGGTAACAGCTCTCCTAGCCTAGTAACGCAGCTCTTCTAACAGCTCTGGGAGGGCTCTGCTACAGGGAAGTACCAGCACCCTCAGAAGGGACCAACACCCCAAATAAATCCGTCTTACTCTGTATAAAAGATTCACCCAAAGCTCCCTTTATAAATGAGAGAGAGAGGCATTGCTACCCCGCTTCCCCCCCAGCCCTCAGTAGCAATTATTTATGCTGGGTTTGGTAATAAACAAAAGTGTTTCCATTAAGTATAAACATGTGGTTGCAAGTGAAAACAGACAGATCAAAGCCCGTTACTAATCTAAAATAAACAAAACACGGTTACGGGCCGTACTTTCCCTAATCCTTATTTCAGATAAAATCTTCAAGTCAGAGCTGATCTTTTCTCTAGCACGGGTATCGCAGCTTCTTGTGTCTCCTTTTACAGTGGGGAGGCAATTTCAAAAGCCAGCTGAATCGTTGGTTTGTTCCTATCCCTTAAATAGAATTCCCCCAGGGCGGCAATCCTGTGTTTCATCCTCCCCATCCCACTGGAAAAATACCAAATTTAAGATGAATTCCAGCTCCAGGTGGCATGGTCACATGTCTTTGTAGGACTAACCACAGTTTAGGCTTATGGGAAAAACAAAACCGGATTGTTGCCTTGAGCACTGGGCCATTAAGTCCCTTAGGCACCACTGATGGCTCCCACTAGAAAGTCTAGATAAATATGCGGGTTTACACTTCGTACTTCTAACGTCACGTACCAGAACAATCCATGCCCACAAAGAGAATACGCACATTCAGGGGATCACGGGCTCTTGAATGATCGTTTCCTTGACCTGTTTTGCATAAAGAAGGTTTGAGCTATGCATATTCATATTCAAAATTATATTTCCATACAGATCCGGGGCGTAGAGTTGCAGGGTGATCTGGTTGGTAGGGCTGGTTTCTAAGTGCTCTGGGGGAGGCCAGTCGGATCCCTGTGCAGGTGCCAGGGAGTGGAACGGGGGACGTTCGGCTTGGCCTGTAGTTGCATAAGCTGGGCCCAGCCCCGAGGAAGAGGTGCCTCCCGCAGGTCTCCCCTGTGCTGGTCTCCCCTCCTCCTCCCCCCCCCCCAGGCTCTGGAGGCAGGGCTCCCTGGGGAAGAGCTGAGCCTGGCCAACCTGTGTGGCCTGGCCACCTATGACCTTGGCCAGCGGCAGGGGAACACTGAATCTGGCTTTGAATGGGGCCCATGCGCAGCAGCTGTTCCTGGGGCCCTGGGGATTTCCCAGCTGGCTGCACAGGGACGTCCTGGACATTGTGGGAGAGGGGTCAGAACCGGCTGGCTCCCTGCAGCAGGCCAGGGTGTCACTTGCTGGGTCCCCAGTGGCCAGGCCAGTGTCTGGGGCAGGCCCCGGCCAGCTCAGCGCCACCCCCACCTGGCTCGCTGGGTTCTTTCTGCAAAGAAAACCTCCCCCCACCTAGTGACCCAAGCAGCACATCAGGGAAACTGAGGCACGCACCCTTGTCATACAAACTATTAAAAGTTCCAGTCTGCTGCGCCAGACTTGGTTACTCCAGCCCCTCTCCATTAACTCTGCGAGCTCCCAGTGCTGGGCAGAGGCCAGGAACCTCACCAGGCCATCTCATTGGAATGGCACCACGAGAGCCCCCTGCCACCCTCTTTAGGACATCTTGGGGTGGGGGAGCTTTGGAAGCCCCTCATTCCCGCCCCCCAGCAAACTGCACACACCCTGCTGGTGCTGCCTGGACTCCCACTCTGTGAACAAACCAGCCCAGTACACAGGCCTCGTAGCTGTGTCCGTGAGCAGCAGTGTGGCCTAGTGGTTAAGGTAAGTTTGCAAGGTGCTTTGTGAGCCCTGCTTGAGGCTGCTGTGCAGGCTGGAAGCTCCAGGTCCCAGCGGCGCTGCTGGCCGATTCCCTGGTGTCAAGTATCCCACAGGATCCTCCACCTGCCTCACTCCCATTGGAGTCGAAGCTGGAGCTTCCCCTGCTTGCCCCAAGGCTGATGGAAAAACTAACCCCCCCCCCGACAGCCAGCCGGAGTGGGGAGTGTATTAACAAGAGTAAGCAGCCGGGGGGAGGGTGAACCTGGGGATCAGCTACTGCAATTGGTTGTCTGGCAGTTACAATCCTCAGGAGCCCGGGATTTGATTCCCAGCTCTGCTACAGGCTCCCTGAATGACCTTGGTCAAGTCCCTTGTGGCCTGGTTCCCAGAGGTGTGTTGTTGCCTTGAATTCAAGGGTGGGGGGCCGGCAGGGCTCAGCATAGCTCCAGATCAAGTCTGGCTCTCCCTGCACCCTGTTCCCCTCCCGCCAGGTGTGGGGGATTGTCCTGCCTGATCTACTTCCAGTAAGCGCTAGGAGGCTGTTTGTACAGCGCCTGGCGCACTGGATGAGTTTGGTATCCGGGATTTCCGCTGAGGCCTCTCTGCGCTCGGCTCCTCCGGACTGGGTTCGAGTCCCGACGGAGCTGATCCGGGCACGTCCCAGATTCGGTCACGCAGCAGTTCAGTCCCTTTAATTACATTGGCCCATCCCACGGCATTTGCTCTATGGCAGAGGTGAGCAAGGTACAGCCCGTGGGCCAGATCTGGCCCACCAAGCCATTTGATCCGGCCCGTGACCCGCCCTGCTGCTCCCCTGCCCCCAGGCCAATCCAGACCGGGAGGCGGGGAAGTGCACGAAGTCTCCTCCCCCTTCCTCATGGGAACCGCTCCTTTGCACCTGAAGCCCCGCCCCTTTGCACCTGAAACCCCGCCCCTTCGGGGACAGAGCTGGCGCGTGACTGCTTATCAAAATTTGTGAAGTGGCCGCCCTGCAAAACTGGCTGCCCAGCCCTGCTGTGTGGGGATGCCGTGTTCGGTGGTTAGCTTGGTCCCCAGGTTTGGGCTGCTGGCCACGTCTGGGAAGGTCCCCGACCATTGTCCTCTGGCTCTGGGGGCTGCTTTCTGAGACCCAGGCTGGTGCTTAGTTCTCTGACCTATTTGCCTGCCCCAGTGGGCACCACCTGCCCTTTGCAGGCTGCGGCTGTTCCCCAAACTCAGCCTCCCCTGGCTTCGGCTCCCCACGTCACGGCAAGCCCACGCCGGGACGCTCCCCCGGAGCCACGTGGGGGCCCAGGGGCTCTCCCTCTGCCTGCCACGGTGCTGAGTCAGCCCGCAGCAGCGCGTGTCGGAGGCGCGGGGCTCTCCGGGCGGCGCGGGAGGGGGCGTGACAGTGGCTTCTCCGCTCTGCCCCCACAGCCTGCTCTGTCTGTCTCTGCAGCTGTGTGTGCAGTTCCTCAAAGGCGCGCTGAGCGTGGAGCTGGTCTGCGAGGCCCTGCAGGTGAGTCCCCGCCCCCGCGGCTGGGGATCCTCCCCCTCCTCCGCGGCTCAGGCGCACCACCCACACACCCCTCCCGTCCCCGCCAGCTGTGCCCAGGCAATGCCCTCGACAGACGGGGCACGGGGCTTTACCCTGCATGGCCGGGGCGGGGCGCTGGCGAGGAGCGGGGTGGCCTGTCCCCGGAAGGCCCCAGGGGTTGGGTTGGGGTCCAAGGCGAAGGAGAGGCCGGTTGGGGTGGCCGGAAGGGGGCCTGGGAGGGGTCCCCAAGACCAGCCGAGGACCCTGCGAGACCCTCTCGCTTCATTGCCACCGCCCGGGAGCAGGGCACACACCCAGCGCAGACCCCCCCGCGGAGCCTCCACGACAGCCCGGGCCCCGTCCCGCGGGGAGGGGCTCTTGCAGCTCAGCCCAGCTGGGACCAGGCATCTGCCATGAGGGGGGGCAGATGTCGGGGGAAGGGAGCTGACGTGCAGCTGCCCCTCTCCAAGCCCCGGCCTCCATCCACCCTGCGCTGGCCCCTCGTGGGGAACCCAGACCCCATTCTCCCCGCCCCCCAGGGCCGTGCCCAGACACCTGCCCTAAGGAAGTGAACAAAGGAGCCGGGCCAGGCAGCTGCAGCGAGCGGACAGGCTCTGCGGCCCCAGCACCAGCCGGTCCTTTGTCTGCCAAGCCAGGGGGGTAGCAAAGCGCTTACCTCCCTGCTGAGGGGCTTTAAGCCCTGGCTGGTTGGTTTCCATGGCAGCCCCCACCGGAGGAAGCGTGGCCTAGTGGTCAGGCCGTGGCCCTGGCAGAGGAGTTAGGGGTGCACTGGTATCAGCCAGGCCTGTGCCACATGGGCCTTGTTCTGTGCACCAGCTCCCAGCCCCTTCTTCCCCACAGGCTCCGGGGCCGGCCCCTTTGATCTGACAAAAGCCCCACACCGACTTTGTCTCCTGCTTCCCGCTTTGTCCTCTGCAGCTGCTGCAGGGTCCTGGCTGGGGGATGGGCTGGGGCCACCACCCTGGCTGGGACACAGACACTGTGGGCAGCTGGGACGACTCTCCTGCCCCGCTCGCTGTCCCATGGGGCCATGGCTCCCTCTGGGCAGCCTCCCATGGCCAGACGTGGGCCCCTTGGGGAAACTGAGGCCGGGATCCACGCTGCCTGGGCGCTCGGGTGCTGCCCCAACAAGCACAGTGTGGAAACCTGCTTGGGGAGACGCAGCGCCCGGCCCGCAGCCCCTCGGTGCCAGGATGGAGCCGCCGGAGCCTGCTCGTCTCAGCCCCCTGCACGGAGAGGCCCAGGGCCAGCGAGGTGGAGGCCTGGCCGAGGAGGGGGCGGCCCCAGGGAGCAGATCAGCCCCAGCTCTGTTTCGGATCCGGCTGTCGTCCCTTTCCCACCTGCCCTGCCTCGTGAGGGCGACAGCGAGTCTCTGTGCCAGCTGCAGACAGGGGCTGGGTCTCCCAGGGGGCTGAGGCCGGCTGCAGAGCTCTCTGGAGCCGCTGGGGGTCGAACAGCCTTTGGACAGGCCTTCCTGACTGCAGTGCTGGGGCCAGGCGGAAGCCCTGGGCACCTGCGGGAGCCGCGTGGGTGGCACGGCCCCAGGCAGGCGCGATGGCAGCGCCAGGGCAGGTTAGATCTGATGCTGCCTTCTCAGAGCAGGGGTAAGGCAGGAGTCGACTGTGGAGATGCCCTGGGCAGACGGTTCAGTGGGTGAGGCCAGCGCCCGGGAGGAAGGGGGGTCCCTGCCGTGAATCCAGCTAGTTCCCTCGTGAGCAGGGAGAGGGTTTATATTCCTCCTCTGTGCTTTGACCTGGTTTCCACTCTGCAAAGAATCATAGAATCCGAGGACTGGAAGGGACCTCGAGAGTCATCGAGGATTCCTGGGTCCCCATGAACGCTCGTGGGGATCTGCGCCTAGGCAGAGCTTTGGCCCGCCCGTGCCAGCTCCGAGGACGCGCGTGTTTTCTTTGAAGCCCCGGCTCTTGGCGTCCTGGGATCGCAGGCGGCGAGGTGCAGGGCTCAGTTATAGAAAAGCAAGTTCCTAGCCCTGTGATGGCAGAAAACCTGGTGCAAGTGACTCCAAAGGGCTGGGAAAGGGGGCCTCCCTGGGGGCTGGCACCCCTGTAATAAAGGGGTTCAGAAGCACACGGCTGAGTGTCAATCCAGGACAGATTGCTTAGAGAAAGGGCTACTTGTAGTCCGAGACTGGGGGTCCTCCGCTCTATGGCACCAAACCAGTCGCACAGAGCCCTTCTGTTCACCACACTGGCTAGTAAGAAGTCGCACCCGCAATCCCCTTAGACACTGCAGCTTCTCCTGCGTCAGCACCCGAACGGCTCCTGGTACACATGAAAACCAATCTCACCAAATCCAAACAAGTTCTTCCAATCCCAAAGGACCAGCCACATTCCCAGGTCAATTTATTACATAGACTCTTACCCATAAAGCATGCTGGTGCCAATCCTTTTTAGGCTCTGTCTAGACTACACCGGTTTTTCGGAAAAAAGCTACGCAAAATGCGCTCTTTTTCCGATTCTTTTGTCGGAAGAGGCTTTTCTAACATTTGGCCCATCTAGAAATGTTTTTTCTAACATTTGGCCGCAAAAAAAGTGGAAGAGCAAACATGTTCCCTAGATGTGGAACAGTTCTTCCGGGATACCTCTGGTATCCCAGAAAAACTGCGTAGTGTAGCCATACCCTTAGACACTAACATTTAAAAGTTAAGAAAGAAAGAAAGAAAGAAAGAAAGAAAGAAAGAAAGAAAGAAAGAAAGAAAGAAAGAAAGAAAGAATTGTTAAAGGAATCACATCCATTCAACAATTGCAAAGTTCTTGATGCGGTCTTGTAGCAGTAAATCTGCAGGCTTAAGTCAAGTCTTTGGAATACATCTGCATTGGATGGGTCATTCAGTCCTTTGGGACACATGAGAGGTTGTGAAAACCAATCTCACCAAATCAGAACAAGTTCTTCTGATCCCAAAGGACCAGCTCGCTTCAGCTTGTAGGTCAAGATCCTCCGGAGGTGAGAAGCCAGATTGAAGTCAAAATGGAAGGACTTCCCGGGCCCTTGATATCTCCTCGGCCAGGCAGAGGGACTCCCATGGTTCTTGCGGGGTAGAAGTACATCCCAAGATGGAGTTTGTCACTTGAGCAAGTCGCCTGTCCATGCCCAACAGCTGGACACCGTTGCTCCCTCGCGGGTCTGGAGTTCACAGAGAAGCCCATTCAAAATGGATCAAGATGCATTGTCAGTCAAGCGCTGGGATTCACTTGGCTAGTTCTCCTTTCGCGGTACGGTGGCCAAGCCCCTGGTGGTGTCTCCCAGAAGCAAACATTTGAAGTACATGTAGCTACCGATGCTACCTGCCTACAAACAGCACCACCAGAATCCGTAAATCCGGGCATCTCACTTGGCACGCTTTTCACAAGCTTTTTGGCAAGTATATCACAGTGGTCGCAACAGTGATCTGTGTGTTCCTATGACAGTCCACCCAAGTCACAGCCCGCTGGTCTGAGCAGGAGCCAGGGAGCGCTGAGACTGTGACCTCGCCGTGGGGCCTGAGGGATCAGGTTCGTAGCCAGTGTTTTGCTGGGATCTCGGCGGCTGTGGTCTGCTGAGGCTGAGTCCCCACCCTGTGGAGAGCCCTGCTGGGTACCGCTGGGCTCTGGGATGCCTTTCAGGCCTATCAGGGCACCTTCTGCTGGGCACACCTCTGTGCCTGCCCTTTCTGCCCCATGTGCCCTCCCGCAGCGCTGAGCTCGGCCCATGTGCCCGTCACCGGGGCGTCTGGGTGCCCTGCACAAGCAGGCTGTCGGGCTCCCTCCTGAGCATTCTGGAGCTCCCTGCAGGTCTGGGAGCCCAGCCCCCATGGGGTAGAGGCATGTAAACAGCCGCTTGTCGGGGAGCTAATAATAGCGCAGGGAGGTCAGAGCCGTTCCCCCTCGCTTCCTGTTGTGCTGCAAACAGCCCGTCTGCGGGTGCGGGTGGGGTGGGGTGCGCGCGCCCAAGGCGGTGCAGTAACCTTTGCCGGGGCTGTTTACACCTTGGGCCTGGTGACGCGCTTGGGACGCTCTTGCCCCGGGCTGACGTTAAAGCAGCGTGTGCTCTCTCCCCCGGCCCCAGCCAAGGCATGTTCCCCTCGGGCAAGCAGCCCCCGGCACCCCCTGTGCTCCAGCTCAGTGGGGCTCCTCCCCTCCCACCCTGCCAGGGGTCAGCCGGGGGGGAAGGCGGAGGAGAGGGGTGGTGGAGTCAGGGGTGGAGCAGGGGCGTGCCGGCCTGGCCCCCCCGCCCCAGCACATGGAACTGGTCTGTCCGCCCCCGTGGTGCTAGGCCTGGAGACAGGGTGGGCATTGCACCAGGGGGATGGCAGGGGCAGCGCCAGGCCTCGGGGGGGGATGGCGAGGGTGGTGGGAGGGCAGAACGTGCTGATGGGAGGCTGAGCCGGGCACATCCGGGGCAGCCGGAACCAGGGAGGACCTGGTGGTGCTTCCAGGTGCCTGCCAGAGCTGGGCACCTCAGCAGCAAACCCACGGGCACTTTCCCCTCGGCGGCGCCTTGCCCCCCGGCTGAGAGAAATGCCAGGCTGCTCCGCAGGGCTGGGGCCCAGCTGTGCCCCGGAGAAGGGCTGCAGCGTCCAGACTGAGGCCGGGGTGTCCGTGGCCCTAGCCGGGATAAGCCG